GAATAATACAAAATAGTGCTCTTTACAAGTAGTGTAGACTATCAAAGTTAGAAAGGTGCAATAAATTCTGTAATCAGTAAGGATTACAAGTAGTATGATGATGCCTGTCATACTGGTATGAGAAGAATATTGGTGTACGAAGAAAAGAAGATGACCTATGTTATAAGGAAGCTTTCAATTAATAAGGAATTTTTTTTAGTTATGAGTAAAAGTTAATAAATATTGTGCTTGCTTGAAGATAGTGACAAAGTGTTTGATCAACTTCATTGACAATAAAGAAGGGAAAGCTTGAAGTCTTGGCCAAATTAAGAAGTGGAAATTAAAACAAAGAAAAATATATGATTTTCTAAAGATTATAAGTGAGTTGTAGAAGTTGATATGTTACGTCGAATTTTTTTTGTTTTGAAAGTTATTAAAAATTTTATTATTAATGGAAGAAGAGGATAACATAATGAATGCAGAGGTAAAGTTAAAGTTTATTATGTTAGAACAAAGGAATAATATAAAAGTACATGTTAAGGATAAAACAAGAAAACGAGGATAAAATTTAGGATTATAGGATATGTCTAAGGTAGTAAATAAATAAGAAAATATTTGCACTCTAGAAGTAAAAAAACATAAGGAATTAAAGTGAATGGTTTAGAGGACTAACTATGACAAGGGTTATAAAGAGATTGTTTGACTGTATGGAGTACATGTCTTAATCGTATCTAATAGAGATATGAAGTTTACTTCAAGATTTTGGAAGTCATTGAACAAGGCCTTAAGAACTCGACTTAACTTTAGCACTACTTTCCATCCTCAAATAGATGGTTAGTCAGAGCTGATTATTCGGGTTTTGGAAGATATGCTAAGGGCGTGTGTGATTGAGTTTAAAGGATCATGGAAGAAATATTTGCCTTTAAAAGAATTTACTTATAATAATAGTTATCAAGCAAGTATCAAGATAGCTCCATATGAAGATTTATATGGAAGAAAGTATTGGACATCATTAAATTGGTTTGAATTGAAAGATCGAGACATGGTGGGGCCAAATATGATCAAAGAAGTCGAAGAGAAAGTGAAGATTATTTAAGATAATATTAAGATAGCCACCGATCAACAAAATTTTTACTCAGACTTGAAGATAAAGGAAATTGAGTACCAAGTGGATGATAGAGTAATTTTCAAAGTATCGCCTTGGAAGAAGATTTTTCATTTTAGACACAAAGGAAAATTAAGTCCATAATTAATTAGGTCCTATGAGATTTTAAAGAAGAGTTGGGCCGGTAGTTTAACGGTTAGCTTTGCCTTCAAAAATTGACAAGATTTATAATGTTTTTCATGTTTTGATACTCAGAAGATATCGATCAGGTCATTCTCACATCATAGCACCAGAAAAGATAGAAGTCCAATCTGACATGACCTATGAGAAAAAAACCAATGCATATTTTGGCACATGTTGTCAAACAATTAAGGAACAAGACAATTCTGTTAGTTAAAGTTTTTTGGAGAAATCACAAAGAATAAGAGGCGATATGAGAACGTGAAGAGGATATGAGAAGGCAATTTCCTTATCTATTTGTGTAGTGAAAAATTCGAGGACAAATTTTCTTAAGGGGGAGAATTGTAATACCCAAAGACCGGGTCAGTGACTAAAGTGTAAGAATTCAAAATTTAGCTATTTAATTTTGATAAATTGAAATGTTCAAGGATTGATTGGAGAAATTTTGTTTAGGATATATTTTCAAAGATTGAAGGATGAAAGGACAAAATGATCTTTTGGCATGAAATGAATTTAAAATTCATTTTAAATCTATTTAAGCATGTGAGGAATTAAGAAGAAAAAAAAAGAAAAAAAAAAGCCTAGAAGCTATTTCTTCATCTTCTCTTATTATCTTCCCCATGAACTCCATTGTTAAGGTGAGTAAAATTTAAGAAGTAAAATTTAAGTAGATTGTTTATTGCATTTTTGAGTTGGTTTTTAGTTCTTGGGTGGTATAGAAGCTTAAGAAATCTTAAAAATGAATAGAAACTAAGAGATTGATGAATTAATGGTAATTTGGCAAAATGAGTTTTTAAGGGAATTGATGAAATTTGTTTAGTAATTGGATTTTAAAGGATATTTGACTTGTCAAAGGTTTGAATAAAGTATTTGAAGTATTAAAAAGGATTGGAATCATGGTTGAAGATTGGGTATGATTTTTAGTTGTAAGTGTTCTATGGAGAATTTTAGATGTTAAAGGGGATTTAATTGATATAAGATGGTTGAGATAAGTGTTAATGAGTTTAAGGGCATGAATGGAGTTAGAAGTATGAGATTTAGGTGAATTTTGGGTTAAATTCGAAGTAAAATAAGTGAATTTTGGGTGAGGGTATCCGTACTGGAATAGCATAATCGGTAATATTCAGCTTCAAATTGTGAAATAGGTGTTTTTTTTGGTTGATGTAAATGTTAATTGGTTAACAGTTAATTGATCGTCGGTATTTATCTTGGTCATGTTAATGTGTAGATTTGGACCGGAAGCACGTATCGAACGAATCGACGTAGTAAAGAGATTGAACGAAAGTGAAAAGGATTTTTACTTAGGACTTAAGTGAGACAAAGGTGAGTGTAACTTACTTAATTTATATACAATTGGAGGTATACGATTGGAGGACGACTTGCGATGAGTCAACCTAAAATGTTTTTGAATAAAAGGATTTGTATTTTGTTATGGTTTTATTTAAATCGTATTTTAAAAACATTGTTTTGATTCCATTGCTATGAGTATATAATCTATGTAAAATGCTATGAGTATATATATTCTATGTAAACAAATGATAATTTGAGTAATGTTGTGTGAAATGTTATGAGTAATAATTATATGTGAATAAATGGTAATTTAAATAATACTATGTGAAAAAATTATATGGTTAAAGTCCAAAGTATGTGTTATGAGAATTAAAGGTATAATTGGCATGCCAAGAGTCGAGGGTTCTACGCGGTCATTCGAGACAATTCTATGTGGTCATTCGGGACAATTCTACGCGGTCCTTCGGGACAATTCTACGCGGTCCTTCGGGACAATTCTACGCGGTCCTTCGGGACAATTCTACGCGGTCCTTCGGGACAAATCTATGTGGCACTTCAGTGCATATTCTACGTGGCACTTCGGTGTAAATTCTACGCGGCAGTTTCGACTGCAATTACAATGCACAACCTCAAAGTACTCATATACCTTGAGTTCTCATGATATACGTTGGGCTAATTAAACAAACGGATATGAATTGAACAATGCTTAATGTTATATGTTATTTTTATGAAATATATTATGTTTCCGTATTCAATGTTTTTTTTTTCTTTTCTGAATATTTAAGTAAATGTTTTAATGTTTTACATACTAATTTATGCCTCACTAAGTCAAATACTTAGTGTATGAGTGTTTTCACATGTAGGTTCAGAGAAGTCAGCAAAATAAAGCTAAGTCAGGACAACATACGCTTGAAGAAGATCAGATCAGACCAATTTGTATAGTAGGTTTGATTTTGTTATTTTGAAATTTTGTTGGTATGTACTACAAAGATAAATTGCAAATGCTCTGATATGTTTTGTAACGATACTATTTTGAGTTTATGTATATATATGAAAATATTTATTTTCAGTGTCTATTATTAATTTTGATAGTAATTTGTTTTATTGAAGGCATCGCAACTAAAAATAAAAAGAAAAAGAAAAGAAAATTTTAGTCGGATTTTCAAAGAGAAAAATATTTGAAAAGTCAATGTGACACCTCAGATTCATATCTGGGTCGGGTACAGATTGGAGGTGTTACAATACTTACTTCCTATTAATCCAAAAAAAAAAATAAAGTTTAAGTGAAAACTAGTTATTTAAGGCTAAATTTAGGCATCAACTAAGTATCTAAAAACAAGCTTAACTAAACTATATCTTTTTTTTCATTTAAATGCCAATTTTTTTTTGTCAATCTAGGTGCCTAACATTACAAACGTTACCATTTTAAGTGTCTCGACTGTAACAAATGTTAAAAAATATGTTAAATGACACACTTAGTTTTAAAAGGCGTAAGGCACATCGAGGAATAAAAAGTCTTTGAAACCTAGGCACAAGGCGAAGGTGCACACCTTTCGCATGCTAGACACACTTTTTATTTAATGTTTTACTATTTTAAAATTAATTATATTCACATCATACATTTAACATAATTTTACAGCCCGGTAGAAAATCCAATGCCAAAAGGCCTACATTTCTATTTTCTGATTAACCTAGATGATATGCATGTAACTTCTGCCATTAATATACAGCTGGAGTCATACATTTAATTCCTACTATTAATATATAGCTGGATTTATGTATTATACAACAAGGAAACTTGTGCCGTCTCCTCACCTGGATCAATGCCTTAATTCCTGCAGTTAATGTGGCTCGTGTATTACACATCACTACCATAATATTTTTTTGAGTGGTAATCCATTACATTAAGTAGGATGTACACTCACATGGGGAAGACCTTGAATGTCTCGAGAAATAAGGTTTGAGCTGCCTGAAGAGTTCTTAGAGAATCATCGACATTGGTGTGCTGTTTGGCGAGGAAATCAGCAGCAAAATTTGATTCACGTTTAATCATGATGACGTCTACAGAGATATTTGAGTATTTATTATTAAATGATTGAGAATCTATCAAATGTATATTACTTTATAATTATTTCATACTAATAAAAAATATTTTAAATAATTTTGATATTAATTGTTTGAATTTAAAATTTACACCATTGCAAACATCATTAGTAATTAATTCCTTCAATTTGAATTTTCTTCAGCCCAACTTCCTTTCTTTACGTAAACTAATAATGCTGGATGTTGTGCTGCAAAAACAAATGTACATGGGGCTTAAACCCTAAACCCAAATTTTGAAAGCTTACATGTAAAGGTTTATGACAAATAAAGGGGTGGCTTAAATTTATAGGGCCAAAGACCCGATTTTAAATGTACATGGTATCTCCCCTCGTTTAAACCCTAGCTATCTATCTAACTCGAACTCCCGCCTCTTTACACAAGTCACGATGGAGACTGAAACCTGCATATCCTCCATGGACTTCAAAGTTCAAGAGTTGTTGAAAGAGGTTCGGCTCCAATGTTCTCCTGCACTTACCAAGCTCGTCGATGATACCGTTTCCGCTATCAAATCTTCCTTAGACAAAATTCCTCAAGATCTTCAGGTATTTTAAATTTTTGTTTGATTATTTGTATTTGTTCCTCATAAACGGGGAGGGAATGGTAATGATTTCTGTTTGAAGGTTACCGTGGATTGGGCTCCAGATTTTGTGAGAGATATTGGTGCAGACAAAGCGGAATTTAAATTTAAGAAACCAAAGTCTATTGAAATTGGTGGCAGTTATTCAATAGGCTGCGTAGCAAAACCAGATGTTAATATCGATCTTCTCCTCCGGTTACCGAAGGTGCAATTATTTTTAATTTTCATTTGCTATAGTATTTATAGCTTATAGATTCCATGTCTAACACCTGAGAAGTTTATTTTATGCAATAGAGCGTAACATCATATTAAATTGCTTGGATTTTGTTGTTCATTTGATGAGTTAGGCATTACTCGATGGTTTCAAACTGGGTTAGATAATATGTACATTAATATGTAGTTACAAGGGTTGTTTTTTTTCTCTAACAATTTTAAAATAATGCAGGAATGTTTTCATGAGAAAGACTATCTAAATTATCGATATCATGCTAAAAGATGCCTTTACCTTTGCGTTATTAAGAAGTACTTGAAATCTTCATCATCAATTCAGAAGGTTGAATGGTCCACTCTGCAAAACGAGGCTAGAAAACCTGTATTGGTTGTCTATCCAGGTTTAATTCTTACTTGAATTCTCACTAAAATCAGCTTCATCTTAATATGACGAGTTGGCAGTTCCCTAAACTTTTTGGACAATCCTGATTTAGTCAAATTCAAATGATCACATTGTAGATGCGAACCTTGATGAAGCACCTGGGCTTTTTATAAGAATAATTCCCACTGCAACATCCCTGTTTGATCCTTCAAAGTTGAACGAGAAGCGGAACAATGTTAGAGCTCTGAAAACAGGTATTATATAGTTGTTGGTTCATTTTTTCTTTCTGTTTCTTGAGCTGTAGGGTGAATGTCTGTCTCTTTACCCTGATGCTCTATGTCTATAATTGTTATGAAGGGGATGTTCTTCAGCCTACACCAATATATAATTGTAGCATATTGGAAGACATGTATTTAGAGGAGAATTCAAAATTTGTTATGAATTTTTTTTCTGGATGGAAGGAATTGGGAGAGGCCTTAATATTGCTGAAGGTATGATATCATGTACTTTAAGAATTTTAAACATTGAGTTTTTCATTCCTATTTGCTTCTGAAATTTTATTATACTGTTGGTGCAGGTCTGGGCTAGGTTGAGAAGTTCAATATATGTTCATGATTGCATAAACGGGTTTCTAATATCCGTTATAGTGTCATACCTTGTGGCAAAAAATAAGATTAACCATGATATGATGCCAATGGGGATATTTCGTGCCACATTGAAATTTATTGGTATTCTTTTTTAATTTAATACACACACACACATTTATATATATATATAGAGAGAGAGAGAGAGGGACCCTGATTCTCAAATTTAGTTAGAAATTCAAATTGCTATTGTTCCGCAGAAACTTATCCATTGTGGAAGCACGGGCTTTACTTTCCAACAATAGACCGGAGTAGTTCAAAGGTCCGTTATGATTTTCATTGGCTTTTGTAGTTTTAGGTATATGATCCTTGAATGTGAATATGTGATCCTTTTAAATGTTTTACTATTTAAGTTTACCTTAATTAGACACAACATGTTGTGGATGCTTATGAACTTCCATTTTCTAGATCAGTGATTCAAAAAGCCAAAATGAAACATGATACCCTTTTCCAAACTGTCCAATCCGTGGTTGAGCATCAGGTTTATTTTTTAGTCTATATGTTGTGTTTTTGAATTGCAGGGAAATGAGCAACTTAATTCTTCAACCTGTGTCAATTTGGCTTTCAGAATTTCAGGTGTTGCTTATCCTGAGGTACTATTAATAGCATTTTTCCTATATGCAATAATCGGTGCAGCCGAGTCTTCATATAATTATGGTTCAAAGACCTATATGATGATTTTCCAAAATTCCATCAAAGCCATTTTTAAAAAGATTCAGTATCCATATATATTAACTCTTACTGCCATAAATCAAAATGGCATATTTAAATTTCTCATTTTTTCTAACTGCATCAAATTGTTCTAAAAAGTGTGTTTTTCTTCCCTCAATCAGCTACAAGATGAAGTTGCGTTGACACTTAGGTGTTTAGAAAGATGCAGAGAAGGTGGTTTTGAGGAAATTTTTGCTACCAAGATTGATAATGCTGCTAAATATGATTATTGCTTTAGGTATGCATCAATAGCTGCTTTGTTCGATCCTTCCTACTATTTATGATAAACAATTGTGCATGAGCATTTAAAAGCATCTCATGTTGAATTTTAATTATTATATGTAGTTCTGTACTTCTTCTTTTGATCTTATGAAATCAACCAAGGCAGAGACTAGCTGTTTAAAACAACTTTCAAATGATGTTATCTGATTTTTGTTTGAATTTCAAGTAAACAGTTTTTTATATTACTGAATGCATCTTTTTCTTGGAGCCTAGCTGTTTAAAACAACTTTCAAATGATGCATTCTTGTTGCCACTTGTATTTATGATGCTTGTTGGAGGCTTGTGAAGTCTTTTACTCTTTTTGTCTCTTTGTAGCGATTATTTACATCTTTCACTTGTCAGATTGAACTTGAAAGGAAACAGAGAGGTCGCTTCTCTAGGATTTTGCTTGGACGATGAATGTTGGAGAGTGTATGAGCAGGATGTACATAGTCTGCTTTATCAAGGATTAACCGATAGAGCAAAGTTTATCCGTGTTATTTGGAGGAACACTTATTCAGACTTTAATGTTGAAAATGTACAGAATCTACTATATTGACTTCTGTTTCTACTTTTTTTAAACTATGATTCTACTTCTAATCCTATGCATGAATCCAGGGCTTATCAGCACTCGATAGTGTGCCATTATTTGTTGGAATTTTGGTGAGCTCTGTAGAGAAGGCTTTTAGGGTTGTAGATATTGGTCCAAATGCTGAAAAGAAAGATGAGGTATTTTTTTTTTCATTTTCTTATTAAGATGTTTATGAGTTGATGGCCCAAATTATTGAGTTTGGACTAATCTTCATTGTCCTGCAACAGGCTCTCATGTTCCGAAAATTTTGGGGTGAGAAGGCTGAGCTCCGAAGATTCCAAGATGGTAAAATTGCGGAAAGCACAGGTTAGAAAGTCTTGATCCTGCATTGGTTTATTTGAGAACAAAGATGTCTAATAACCCCTGCAAACTCTATTCTTCAAGCAAGTATGAAAAGGTGTTAAGCTTGATGATTACCCATGTTTAATAGTTTGGGAAAGCGAGCAAGGTTCAAGGCATCTCATTTTAAAAAGAATTGTTGAGTTTTTACTGGGGCGCCATCTATCTTTATTGGAAAAGGATATTGTTTCAGTTGTGGATCAGCTTGATTTCTCTCTGCTACTTGATGGTAAAGGTAATTGTGTTAACCATTGAATGTTTGCAGTTCCTTGTTTGTTTTTCCTTTATTGGTAATCATGCATGCTTTGATGATATCATTTTCTCAGACCCAGTATCACATTCTGGAAAACTGCTTGGAACATTTGAAGAATTGTCAAAACGTTTGTGCTCTATTGAAGATGTTCCCTTGAGGATATCTAGTGTTCAGCCTCTCGATTCTGGTATTTTTACCTTAGAAAAGCTTTCCTCCTTATATGGTATTCTTTTTTATTTTGAGGAATTTTTGTGGGGTTTGGGGTCCAAGGGATATATTCTGATGTTCCTTGAATTAATGAATAAGCTGGTCCCTGCTGTTTGAATAAGCAGTCATGATATTCTGGTTTAATTTATCACATTCACAGCTTTCAGGTATACATCTGTTTTTCCTCCTGAAACTCATCCTGTGGCAAATAAAAAGGTTGATGTGGCAAGGCTACATAATTTGACCCCATTCTGTGTCCAGTCGCTTGAAGTTATGATTCAGGCAAGTTATTATTTTGCCAAGTCATTTTTTTCTTTTTATCTTATTAAGACAATTGATTTGTATTGATTGTTTTTTCCCTGATGATTTAGTTGGAAGGTTCTGGAAATTGGCCAATGAATGATGTCTTAATTGAGAAAACTAAGTCAGTTTTCCTTCTCAAAATTGCGGAGAGGTAAGCCAGGAGGCCCAATATGGCAGCGTTTAAACCTAGGCTATGTTAAATATAGCATTTTTTCCCCTAGTTAATGAGTCTTATGGCAGTCTCCAGGATAACTGGGGGATGACATGCATTGCTTCTGAGGAAGATGTGGATGTTTTCATGGATGGATATGCATTTCGCCTTAGAATTTTGCATGAGAGAGGCCTAAGTCTGGTGGGCAAAGAAAGTATGAGCTCTCACCTTGATATATGAATTGTTTCTTCTTGAACTATTGTCATTCTAGAATTTACAGAATTCATTTCTTTGTAGTTGGGCATGATCAAACGAAGAGGGTTTCAGCTGCTGATAAAATGCTTTTTGTTCGTAGTCAACATGCAAGCATGGTTAATGGATTACAGTTTCGTTACCCAATATTTGGGCCGGTTGTTAGGTGCCAATTTGACTTGTTTTAGTTTGTTGAATCATTTCTTTTGGATTTTAATTATCAAAATTTATTATCTGGTTCTGTTTGTGAAGGCTTGCAAAACGGTGGCTTGCTTCTCATCTTTTTTCGGCTTGCTTGGCAGAAGAGGCTGTGGAACTATTGGTTGCCCACCTCTTTCTGAAGCCTCTCCCATTTGATGTGCCCTGTTCTCGGATCACTGGATTTTTAAGGTTAATTTCTGTCTTTCATTGTGATGTTTCATTTAATAAGAATCTTTCTTGTTCCTCAAAACATTTAATGCTGATGAATCTGTGCTTTACTTTCTTAAATACATGGTGTTGTGTAATTCACCTTTGGTAGAGTATGGATTTCTAGTTTTGATTTATATGGGACTTGCTATTGCAAGATCTTAAAGTCTCACTTACTAAAAATATAAAATGATTACGATGTATCCTACTTTTTAAATGTGTTGACAATTGACTTACACGGATCTCTGCTGTCGATTGATTCAGCAACAATATCAAAACTTTAGTGATGGGCTCTGCATAAACTGACAATTAATGTTCCCTTTACCTTCTTTTCTTTTATGTTGAATATCAGGTTCTTGCGACTACTAGCAGAATATGATTGGACTTTTTCTACGTTGATTGTTGATATAAATGGTGATCTGAGCCAAAATGATGAGAAAGAGATTGATGTAAGTTCTACATTTCATAAAATGATTAATAATTAAGAGTATATGTTTATATGATATTGTTCATTTTTATTAAGTGGTCACTAATTTATATGCCTGCTTGTCTAGGATCACTTCACTCAAAGTAGAAAAGCTTACAAAGAAAACACCCAAATTGGAAGCAAGGCCATGTTCCTGGCTACTGCTTATGACAAGTCATCTGAAGCTTGGACCAGATGCTCACCAAATCCACTGGTTAGTGAACCCTTTGATTGGAGCTTTTCCATTTAACTCTATCTACCTTGAGGATTTAATACTACTACTAGTAAAACTGCCTATATCGTTTAACTGATGCCTTTTTCTGATGCAAAAGGAGCTTAAAAGGTTGGTGGCTTATTCTCGAAGCAGTGCTAACTTTTTGACAAAACTCATCCTGCAAAATCAGACTGATCCCCATGAATGGGAGGTGCACTATACACACTTGTCGACTTTTAGTATTTAATTCCTGTTTTTCTGCTATCATGTTCCTAGACCTATTACTTATATCGGCCATTTTGGCCTGCAGTGCCTTTTCCGAACTCCGCTGAGCCTTTATGATGCTGTTATTCTTCTCCACGGAGATAGATTACCTTACCCAAAACGTCTCCTCTTCACATCTGAACTGGACCAAGGTATACTCATAGGAGGAAAAGGTCTTCAGTTTTCGCCACTATCTTCCTTTTCTTTTTACCAATTACTTCTCGTGTTATTGTTATTAATATAAATAATGATTTGTTCAGGTCGGCATGTTGCTCATGGCAGTGCTAGCAATTCTTTCCACCCTTTCCTATTGCCTGCTGATATGAACTGTAGCTTAGAGCAAATAAAAACCAAGCAAATGGTAAACTTTGATCCACTAAGGTGCTTTGTAGGAGATGTAGAGGTAATTATTTAAGCAAAAAAGCTTTGATGTCAATCTTAGCAGCATTGGCCTTTTGTGCTTACATATCTTTTTATATCTGTAGAAAGAGTTCTCCAACAGATTGACGTTATGGTATGATTCATTGGGAGGCGATGCGATTGGTCTAACATGGGAACGTTCAAAGGTATGATTAACAATGCATTGAATTTCTACTGGAAATATTTTGTGATGTAAAATGGTCTTCAAATTGTACTGATTACTGATATATACATTTTACTTTCGGAAGAAACGAGAACGAGAAGAGGAAGAGATGGATGGAAAGTATCCAGTTGATTTGTTGAGAAATGTAGGTGAATTAGGGAAAGGATTTGTGAGAGATGTTTATTTGCTCAAGGCTCCCAGGCTTGAAAAATGATTTAGAATAATGCTAGAGGCTTAGCTGGTGAAACAGATGGGACAGCGCAGAAGGGAACCATTCAACATTTGCAGCGAAGATTACCAACCTCCAGAGGCGCTGCCTTGGCTAACAGATAGAGAGCAAAACCCTCAACTTTTGTGGTATTATATTTTGTGGTTTTCATTTCTAGAATTTACCTTTCACCTTTGTAAAATGCTAATGTAATTTCAGGACAATGGTTAAAAAAAGGACCAATTGAAGGGGTGTATTTTATTCGAGAAAATGGTGTTATGGTTTTATATTTTGCTTAGCTTTAGTAATGCTTTTTTTTTTTTATATTTTTCTAGGATAAATTCTTGTTACGTTTTATTAAGAAAAAGATTAAATAGTTAAAATATAAATGAAAGGGATATTAACACGTTCATATTTTTGTATTCATGATGTTTGAAATTGAGATCTCAAGGAATAATAATTCTTTTACCATTGAGGTCGTTTGGTTCGTGCTCAATCGTAATGTTATGCTAGTTAAATATGAAACACTAAATATATTTATTTATAGACCACAAGTGTATATATTAAATTAGGAGTGAACAAGATTATATTTTTAAAAACTAATTTTTTTAATTTGACTTTACGTGAAAAGTTAGACTTTAATTTAATAAATTTTATTTTTAAGAAATTAAATAAATTTTTAGTTATAAAATAAGATTTGAATAATTCAAAATTTTTAGTAATTAAAAATTGACTTTTAAGTTCAAAATCGAGTTTCTCGACTCAATATAATATATATGTATATCACATATGAAATATATATATATATTGCTTAAATAAGAATCAATTAAAATCTTAAAATTACAAATATTTACAATTAAATTTGAATAGAAACTTGAACAATTTGACTCGACTCAGATTTCATAAACTCGACTAAAAAAATTCAAATAAAACTTGAGTTATAAAATAAGACTTGTCAACTTAACTAATTCAAAAATTTTTGACTCCACCTGACTCGAGTCAATTGAATACTCACATATATGTTAAAGAGTTAATTGCATCATATATCCCTAAATTGTAACCTTTATTTTAAATTGATCTTTAAACTTTTAATTGTTTCAATTTCATCCTTAAACTATGACTCTCATTCTAAATTAATTCTTAAACTTTTGAACATTCTAATTTCATCCCCAAACTTTTGAATATTTCAATTTCATCCAAATATGTAATTAATTTCAACCATAGTTTAATTTAAATTTTGTATTTCAAACATATAATAATATAATTTGGCCTAACGATTTTATTAACAAGGGATGCGATTAGCATATACGTATAGTTTGTGATGAAGTTGGAATGTTCAAAAAGTTTGGGGGACCAATTTAGAATGAATGTCATAGTTTAGGGATGAAATTAAAATATTCAAAAGTTTGAAGACTAATTTAGAATTATTATCATAGTTTTGGGATGAAATTAAAATATTAAAAGTTTAAGGATGGTTATTTCTGCTGGACGTAATTTGGAGTTGCCGTTTTGCTAATTTTAGGTTTTTAATATGTATTGTTGTATTGAACATGATATTTTGATATTAATAAAACTTTCGGCACTCTTTCCCCCTATCTTAACTAAGAGGAGATTTTTAACGAGGCTCTTTTACCTTTCAATAAAAAAAGATTAATATGAAATAAGAATTATACTTTAAGGACATATGATGCAATTAATTCTATGTTAAACTCCATATCACTAACTAATCACCAAGACAATTTTAGACAAAAATGTGAAGATAAAAAGAAAGGTGTCATAACCATTTTTTGAAAAACAATTAAATATTATTTTAAAAAATGATTATGACTTTATTTTGGAAAATTGGTGATTTGGAATTAAATTGAAAGGAGTCGCCATCGACCTTTGGGTTAGGTATGTAGAATACCTAAAAACGTCTTTTAAAACAATTTTAAGGAAAAATCATTTTTTAAGACGAAAACTGATATGTGTTTACCAAATATTTGTTTTAAAAGGATTCAGGAGTTGGTTACGTGTGGGGAAGGGTAAGCACCCCCACAAAGCCCCAAAACTAGTATTGAATCGCTTACACGTTATTATAAGTGGTGGAAATTAAAATCGAATATAAAGTTAAAATACGATCCATTTATCGAACATTGATTAATTTGCTTCGAATTAATTAATTAGAGAAAATTCTTTAACTCGAAAAGAAATATCAAAATTAGCAATCCTCCGTCGGGAAAGCTAACTCGAATATTTCTTATAAGTTAAAGAATATTCCATCCTCATTGATATTAAAAAACATGAATCAAATATAAAATGGAGAATCGGTATTTGCGTGAAATAAATTGTTATTTAGAGAAACATGCAATGCGTTGTTCGATTTAAAACATGAAATGAATTAATTAACAAAATAAAGTTGATTTCAAGTTCACATTTTGTTAAAATGTCGTATCGAATCGCATGACTTCGACCAAGTGAAGCTTTCCACGTTCATTCTACAAATCGATGTTCTTGAAAAACATTCGAAATAAAATATTTACAGTAAAATAGAACCAAACATATCCATTCATTTAATTACAAAACATATTAAATATATACATATGTAAAAAGAATCAATCATAACAAGTAAATATTACATATCAAATTACAAATAACAAAAATAGGCACATTCGGTAATTTAAGGGACTAAAAGGACATTAACATAAACTTAAAGGAATAAAATAGCAAAAATAGAAACTTAAAGGACTAAAATAGCCAAAACAAAATGTTAAAGGACTAAAATAGCAAACTAGAAAGTTAAAGGGATGAACTACTAAATAAAAATAAACCAGACTCCCATAATTAAAAATATTAAATAGTACATGTATTAAAAGTGAAAATAACCCATAAACATATTAAGGACTAAAATAAAAGATTTACAAATATATTGACCAAAGTCGAACATCAAGGAAAATATCATAACACACTAAATCAGTGACCTAAATAAAAATAATAACAATTAAAGGAACAATTCGAAACAAACAAATACTATAACAAGTGACCAGAATAAAATAAAATAGAACATGCAAGCTTAAATCGAAACTAGCAAATAAAATGAATCTAGGAACCTAAATGTAAAAACACGCTAAACATAAAGGGATTAAACTGAAAATAACCCTAAAAATATATAACATAAATAAAAATGGGAAAAGCACAAAAACAATCCTACAGGTGACTATTTTACAAAACACGCTAAACTTAGGGGGATTTCAAGATCAATTTCCCCCTAAAGTTTTCTATAAATATCAACATTTTTCTTTCTTTTTTATTATTATTTCATTTGTCATTTTTAAAAAAATTTTCTCTCTAAAAATTGGTCACCATCGGTGCTTACCACCCACCGGCCACCGCCACCTCCAGTGGCCGATGGCCCCGTTTTTGATCTGGGGTCGGTTTCGCGAGAATCGACCCTAAACTCCACGAATCTAGCCAAAATCATTCGGCATTCTTCTCTCCGATCCGCCATCGTCTGTCGTCTGATCGACTTGATTTTTTAATATGTTGTTCTTGTTTGGCTTGCACAGCTTTTCACTGTTGGGATCGGTGAAATCAGCCCCCGAACACCGCAAACATTGCCAACTGAATGGATAAGAACCCTTTTTCCTTTTTCGTTTGTTTTATTTTTTATTTTGATGTGCTTTGTTTAATACGAAATAACATGGGATTTTTTTTCTCTAAAGTGTACTTTTTTATTGCTGATAATCGGTTCTGGTTACATTGTTGTTGATTGATTGGGTTTTATACCCATTACAAAATTATATGCAAAAATGATAAAATGGCTCGTTGATTGGTGATGATGTGAGGTTTGGCAGAGGTGTTTGGTGAAGCTTGCTTGTTGGCAGAGATGGCGTGAACGTGTTGGTGTGCAGAAGCAGCAGTTGGGATTGAGGCAACAGCATGGTGGCCTACTCAGTTGGTGGCAACAGTTGAACGGGTCGAGTCTCGGGTCAGACCTGGATTCAGGTTCATATTGGGTCAGTTGGGTTCCGTGTTTGAGTCTTGTAATTGGGCTTCGGTGAAGCCTGCAAAATGTAAATTTATAATATTAATAATAATAACAATAATAATAATAATTAATAATAAACTAATTAATATATATTAATATTTTTGTAGACCCGGACAAAAACGGGTGTCTACAGCTGCCCCTCTTTGCACATTCTTATGTTAACAAGAATAGGGCAAAGACGAAAAAGACAACCAGTTTTTGTCCGGTTCTTTTTTTTTTTTTAAATTTGATATGTTTGGTGTTGGGGGACGACACAGCTCATACGCGATGAAGAGTTCTGGCCATCTTTAGGAGGGGTGATAACACGGTTCCTATGCGATGAGGATGGCTGGTTATCTAGGGGTGAAACGGCTCCTACATGATGAGGTGGTCTGGTCGGGGATGACACGGTTCCTACGCGATGAGAATGACAAACCATCCTTAGGGATGATAACATGATTCCTACGTGATGAGGATGACACGTCTCCTACGTGATGAGGAGATATGGTCGAGGGATGACACAACTCATACGTGATGAAGAGTTCTGGTCATCTTTAAGAATGGTGATAACACGGTTCCTACGCGATGGGGATGACTGATTATCAGGGTGACACGGCTCCTACGTGATGAGGAGATCTGGTCGGGGGATGACACGACTCATACGTGATGAAGAGTTCTGGCCATCTTTAGGGAGGGTGATAACACGGTTCCTACACAATGAGGACGGTTGGTTATCAAGGTTGACACAACTCCTACGTGATGAGGAGGTCTAGTCGGGGGATGACACAACTCATAACTGATGAAGAGTTCTTATCATCTTTAGGGAGGGTGATAGCATAGTTCCTACGTGATGAGGAGGTCTGGTCGGGGGATGACACTGTTCCTACGCGATGAGGACGGTAGCCCATCTATAGGGATAATGGTTTCAAGGGAAACCGACTCACAGATGATGCTTCAAGAGAAGTTGTCTCAAAAGAGACAATTCGTTTCAAGGGAAACGACTCAAAGATATGTGCTTTGTTTCAAAGGAAACAAACTCAAAGATTTTTTTCTAAAAAGAAATTGTCTCAAGAGACAAAAATTTGTGTAGAGAGAAAAAGACTCAAAGATATTTTTTTCAAGAGAAACAATTCAAAGGATATTGATAATCTTCTTGTTCTTGCTGGTGGAGGAAAGGCCTTCAGAAGATCTGATCGTTCGCATTAGGATGTTGAATCCCCAAAAATGCTCCAATATTCGATATTGA